ACAGCAGCAGCAGTATGAGCAGTTCTGTGTGGGTGCGTGTACCACTACTGATTGTGGTTACACTGGCCTGTATTCTTGTGTGCTGATTGTGTGGTGGTGGTGTGACTCAGGTCATCCTTTGTTTTCTTTTTCTTTTTTTATTTGCATCAATACAGTCTAACTAATCTACCATCGGTTGGGATTTTCTTTCTTGTTTCTTAATGTTATTGTGTGTTTTGTTTGTTTTTACTCTATGTTTATCCTATAATTATAATTATTGCTACTACTCCTTTGTGTGTGTGTGTTCTTGGAGACTCTCTGTGTGCACCTGGGCTTGCACTGTAATAATGATGATGAACTGCCTTTTTGCAGTGAAAGGAGAAGAAAAGAAATAATAATAACAGATGAATTTATATTTATAATTGCTTATATACACACATATATAGACTTGTACCCATAGTTGGTGTATATTTCTGTGTTTATTGGGTAAATTGGGCTAATTTGTAATATCTGTTTCTTTGCTTATGGTTTGCTGGGTCATTCTGTGCTTTTGCCCTGCACGGTTTTTGGTAATCTGTTTTATAAGATCAAAGAAAAAAATAGTAGTTAATTCAATTTGTATTCGTAATTGCTTGAACACACTAGCATACTCAGTGGTCTGTGATTTATTTTTGTGCAGTTGGTCCTGTTCTTAATTTTTGTTTTTTTTCTTGCTTGGGCGCTGTGTGCTTTCTCCTGCACTGTGGTGATGGATTATTTTGTGTTGGGAGAAGAAATAATAAGGAATACATCAGTATATTTATAATTGTGCTTGGTCCTACAGGAAGAGACATTTTGATGTATTTCTGTGTTGTGCCTGCTTCTGATGGTCGTTCTCTTTAATTTCTTTTTTTTTCTTTTGAGGGGTTTATTGTGCTTATCTGTTTGTTATTGGGTATTGTGTGTTTTGTTCCTTTCATTGGACACTATTTGAGTGATTGTTATGGCTTTATGTTTTGTTGTCTGTATTTATATATATTGTTGTTGTTTTGTGACACTGAATACCTTTGTTGGTGTTTCTGTTCTCTTCTTTTTTTTTCTGCAGGTCAGTGACACCAGAAAAGAAGAGCAAAGACTGTTATGATGCTCTTGCGTCACGTACTGAGTTTGTTGGTCCTCTCCTTCTGTTTTATCTGTGGATGTGTGGGAGCTGCTGCAGAAAGTGACGTTCTTCAGGAAACTGAATCTACTGTCGATTGCAGTGATGGTTCCGATGAGAGTAATTGTCGTCGTGAAGAAAAACAACATCTTGCTGCAAGTGATCCACCTGATATTGGAACGTCTAGGGCTCCTGATACTAACACTGAGTTGAACCAGGAGCTGAGTGAGCAAATGGAGCAAAAAGAACAGGGGAGAATGCAAGAAGGTGACAGAATACCAGGTCGACCTGAAGGAAATAAGGTTCAAGTCGAACCTATCATACCTAATTCTTCTGGAAGAAGTACTACTGAAGATAATCATGAGCTAGGAACAAATACAAGTGAAGTTACTGACGGTTTATTGCCTCAAGCTTCAGAAGCCCTCCACGATCCCAAATCTCCTTCTTCATTGTCACCTACCAATTCAGGTTCCACACAAGGAACAGGTGGTGGAGCTTCGCATGTGGAGCCTGGCAATAGTGATCATCCTCAGGATGCAGGGAATCAAGTGACTGACGACAGTAAACGAGAGAACCCGCATACTACTGATAACGAACTGAAGAAGAAGGAAAGACGCAGGACAATGCGAATAACTCGCACACCACTTCTTCTCCTTCTGAAACCAATACAAATAATTCGGAACCTCATCAACCAAGTCCTTCACAGGACCAGACACCCGTTACACAAGATTCTCAATCAAACACCAACACAAGGGAGTCCAATAATGCGGAACCCACGAACACTGACACTCCCAATACACCCAATAATGATGAAGAATCAACCACCATCACAACACTTCCTCCTGAACTCACAAACAACAAGAAGGGTGATGCAGACAGCAGCAGCAGTATCAGCAGTTCTGTGTGGGTGCGTATACCACTACTGATTGTGGTTACACTGGCCTGTATTCTTGTGTGCTGATTCTGGTGTGACTCAGGTCATCCTTTGTTTTCTCTTTTTTTTTTGCATACAACCACACTACAGTCTAACTAATCTTTTACCCGTTGGGATTTTCTTCTTTTTTGTTTCTTAATATTAATGTGTTTTGTGTGTTTTTACTCTCTCTCTGTGTGTTTATCCTATAATAATTATTATTGCTACTCCATTGTGTGTGTGTGTGTGTTCTTGGAGACTCTCTCTCTCTCTGTGCCTGGGCTTGCACTGTGATAATAATGATGATGAACTGTTTTTTAGAAGTGAGAGGGAAAAGGAAATAATAATAACAGAAGAAATTATATTTATAATTACGTATATACACACATATATAGACTTATACCCATAGTTGGTGTATATCTATGTTTATTGGGTAAATTGGGCTAATTGAAACTTTCTTTTTCTTTGCTTATTGTTTGCTGTGTGGTTGTGTCCTTTGCCGTAAACTTTTATAATGATCTGCTTTGTGTGAGTAAGGTGAAAGAGTAACAGATACATTTATGATATTGATTGCGTATACCCTGCAAAGCTTATCCATAGAAACTTATTTGTGTGCTTTCTGGTACTGTTCATTGTGCTCTTGGATTCTTTTTCTTTCCTTTTTATTGATTGGGAGTTTCTTCTTAATACTGGGTAATATTTGTTATTTTCCTTGAATTAGATTTCATCTAGGTGATTTTTCTGGATTTCTCATCGATTATTTTGTAATTCTTGTTTGCTTATTTGTTTTTATTTTGACTTTCTATCTTTGTCTTCTTATTTCTGTGGCCAAGTAAACTCAGGGTGTATTTTTAGGTTTTTTAACAATGATGGTGCTCCGTTTATTGTTTTTTCTTGCTTTGCTTTTGTGTGTTGAGTGTCTATGTATGGCCACTGCAGGGAGTCCAACTGAACCGCAGGATGGTTCCACTTGCCGAGGCGGTGATAGTGGTTGTCCTGATGCATCTGGACACGCTGCTAACAGTTGCGAAGATGGTAGTAGTGGTAGTGGTTGTCCTGCTGGTGCTGGTGGTGTTGAAGCTTCTGGTGGTGGTGATTGTTCTCATGGTTCTACGTGTAATAGTAACTCCAGTATACGTAACTCTGCTCGTGAGGATTGTGTGGAACCTTCTGGGCCGGATAGTTGCCCTACCGATGTTGATGAGACTCAAGAGAATTGCCCTTCTGGTGGGTCTGGTTGTAAAAACAAATCACAAGAAGAGAATCATGCTAGCTTAAATGAAAATAGTGGAATTAATGGTGGCGGTCGTCAAGGTCACGATGGTCAAAGCCGTCCTCTAACTGACCAGGGTTCACATACTGAAGGACGACAAGAGGATCGTGCCAACGTAACTGTTGATGTTCTTCCTCCTGGTGAACCAGAAACTCGGGAAACTCAAAGTGTAAACGGTTCACAAGGTGGTGCTTCTTCTCCCGCAGGGGGTACTGGCGGTGCTCCTACCGCTGCCGGTCAAACTGAAAGCAGTGTGGTCAGTGCAACCGAAGAAGGTGGATCTAAACAGGGAAGTGAAACAGCACAACCTTCTTCTTCTTATTCCAACAATTCGGCCACAGGGAGTGATGTTGGTTCTGATGCTGTAACACCTGAGAATGGCACTTCATCTGCAGAGAGTGAGTCACCAAGTAACCGAAATGATGGAGGAAA